TACTGCCACTGGATTCCCTATTAAGTAGATCAGGTGCATTCCAGGCACTGCAGGTGCTTACTCTGCCCATTTAAATTACTAATAATAGAAAGTAGCATGAGCACTAAAAGGCAACTATATGTAGAATTGTAAGCAGGCAACAAACACTGGTAGTAAGGGATACCCTCAGCTCTTTAATGATTAATATAGAGCAAGATAATACAAAACAAATGTACAGGTTGCACCAAAATAAAATGTCCAACAGAAAATAAGATGCTTGGAGTATTCTTTACTTGTAAATCATGCAGACTTGTGATGGTGGCAGGTGTATGTAATAACACTTTATTACATATACCTGCCAACATCAGTGCACATTGCAATCACACCAGCTAACCACTGGCCACCAGGTATGTGGATCTTCTCCAACTCTCCCAGGTAAAGGTAGGAAAAAGGAGGCTAAAAATTAAAAAATCGTATCTGTTCATCTGTGTGAATGTGAAAGTGTGAGTACGTATGTATAAATGTGAGAAAATGTGTGTTTGTGTGTATATATTCATATATATACACACACACAAATATAAATATACACTGAACAAAATTAAAAACACAACACTTTTGTTTTTGCCCCCATTTTTCATGAGCTGAACTCTAAGACTTTTTCTATGTACGCAAAAGGCCTATTTCTCACAAATATTGTTCACAAATCTGTCTAAATCTGTGTTAGTGAGCAATTCTCCTTTGCCGAGATAATCCATCCACCTCACAGGTGTGGTATATCAATATGCTGATTAGACAGCATGATTATTGCACAGGTGTGGCTTAGGCTGGCCACAATAAAAGGCCACTCTAAAATGTGCAGTTTTACTACATTGGGGAATTCCGGGGGGGGGGGTCCAAAAACCAGTCAGTATCTGGTGTGACCACCAGTTGCCTCACGCAGTGCAACACATCTCGTTCACATAGAGTTGATCAGGTTGTTGATTGTGGCCCGTGGAATGTTGGTCCACTCCTCTTCAATGGCTGTGTGAAGTTGCTGGTTATTGGCAGGACCTGGAACATGCTGTCATGTACGCCGATCCAGATCATCCCAAAAATGCTCAATGGGTGACATGTCCGGTGAGTATGCTGGCCATACATGAAAAATGGGGGCAAAAACAAAAGTGTTGCGTTTATAATTTTGTTTACCACCACAACAACTTAAATGAGCTTACATTGCTACGGGTTGAGAGTGTTCTTTTAACCCCTTAATGACCGCGGATGGTTCAGGAACGTTATCAGCATTTTAGCGTTGCTGACCGCTGACAGTCCTGAACCGTCACAACGGTATTATGTACTTACCCAATCGCCGTCATTCCCCCGGCGTCTATCGACGGTGCTCCCAGTGTGGGGAGACGGCCTGCAGCCAGGCCGTCTCCCCATGGCAAATTAGGACCCCTGGGGCCATGTGATCGCTCAACAGAGCAGTCACATGGCCACAATAGGTGTCCTAGTGTCTGCCTGCAGGGGGACTGCCTGTGCTGACAGGCAGTCTCCCTGCAAGTGTAAAATAAAAAAATAAATAAAGGTTAATGTTAATAAAAAAAATAGAATTATATATGTGTGTGTATATATATATATATATATATATATATGAGATATAGACATATATTATATCTATACAATATATGTCTATATATCATATATATAATGTCATACTGAGTGTATTTTTATATTAATATATGTATATATTAATATAAAAATGCACTTATAATTAAATTACACACATATATATAATATATATAATAACTATATATATTGTGTATATATATATTATTATAAAATACAAATAAATTAAATTAAATTTAAAAATGTAAAAATAATAATAAAAATGTAAAAAAATATATATATCTATATGAAATTTTATTTTAAGTGTATTTTGATATTAATATATATATATATATATATATATATAAATATCAAAATACACTTAGAATAAAATTGTATATATATCTTTATAAATAAATAAAAATAATACGAAATATACGGTTTTGAAACACAAATATTTGTGTTCAGCAAAGTCTCCCGAGTATAACAGTACCCCCCATGTACAGGTTTCATAGCATTTTTGAAAGTTACAGGGTCAAATATAACAGTCAAATATTTTTACACTGAAAATTGGCAGGCTGGTTTCGTTGCCTTTGAGAGCGTATGGTAGCCCAGGAATTAGAATTACCCCCATGATGGCAAAAAGACTGGACATACCCCATTTGCAATACCTTGAGTTGTCTTCTTTTGCAAATGGGGTATGTCCAGTATTTTTTAGTAGCCACTTAGTCACAAACACTGGCCAAAATTTGAGTTCAATTTAGTTTTTTACTTTTTTCACACACAAACAAATATGAACGCTTACTTTGGCCAGTGTTTGTGACTAAGTGGCTACTAAAAAAGACTGGACATACCCCATATTGAATACCCATATTGAATACCCTGGGTTGTCTACTTTAAAAAAAAATATGTACATGTGGGGTGTGATTCAGAGATTTATGACAGATAATAGTGTTGCAATGTCACTATTGATATGTTTTAAAAATATATATTTTGAAAAATCAATTTACTATTTGTACTTATAGCCCTATAACTTGCAAAAAAAAAGCAAAAAAGCATGTAAACACTGGGTGTTTTTAAACTCAGGACAAAATTTTGAATCTATTTAGCAGTTTTTTTCATTAGCTTTCGTAGGTAAGTAAAAGATTTTTCAAGTAAAAGTTAAAAAACATGTTTGTTTTTTTCAATTTTTCACCATTTTTTTTTTTTAAGTAAATTATATGACATGATACAAATAATTGTATGTAAAGAATAAATGAGAGAGAAGAAAATTACAGCTAAACACAAACACCACAAAAGTGTTAAAAGAGCCCTGGTCGTTAACGTACAACATCGCAAAATAAAAAATTAAACTAAATGCAGAATGAATATTATTGAATTCAGAGTCAAAAAAGAACATATACCTATGCATTTTTATTTTCATGGTAATATAATCTATTCCATTACAAATTATACCAACAATATCTCAAACAACTCAGATAATTAAAATAATTATATACCTGTCAACAGACATTCACTTTTTAGATATAAGCATGACTACATTGTTTTATTTTATCTTTTACAGATAATTTTATCTTTTAAAAATAAATTTGACACTTTTCTTCTAATCGAAGTTTGTTTTAATAGGAATTGATTTACTTGTACTATAGAGGTACTATAGAGGTCATCTTCGGCTAATCACTACATCTTCCAAGTGTTCTAGCGTTATCTACTGCATCTAAGGATATTTCTACACAGTCGTGCAGGATATCTTTGACTTAAGCTTTTTAGGATTAATTCTCTGTCTATCTCTAATCATTTTAGACAGTGTTGTCAAGCATAAATTCACATTTGCTTTTTTATGCTATTTTTAAAGTCGAAAAGAGTGCATACTAAAATGACTTTTACCCAGTGCAGGTGCAGGTCTAAAAGGATATTGTGAACAAAGTTTTTGACACAGTGCATGTGAAAGATTTTTACATGTTTGCAACTCTTCCGCACTTGCTTGTAGCTAACGCACAATAGAACAACACAAAATATGTAATTATGGAGAAATCGTTATGATAAACTTATGTGATACAAAATATGTAGCAAACACTGCATTTAGAGATGTTCTAGAGAGTAAACACCTAAGTTAATTCTTTATGTATCACACAGTAAAGCATTAGCACATTTATTTGCTGGACTGTGGGGTTGGTAGTTCTCCACAATTCAAAATGTTATTAAGCTGCTGCGCAATCTGTTGTGGTGAGGTTAGCCACCAACAGTCATGAAAATGTCATGGATCTTCATTATAGTCTACTCAAGTGATACTGTGCCAAAAATAAAAATATAATAAATTATAACCATGTTTAGTTTTGGAAATGTTTGTAAATGTTTTTTAAATTTGCTGTGTCACATAAAAATGCCTTAATTAATGATTATTGTTTTGGTATTTTTGTCCGTGTTACAGCCCAAATTTTCGGATGAGTGCAAGTTCATGGAAAGGTATCAAGAAAACAGCTATAACACCTATGCTTCAGCTATTTACAGGACTGAAAAAACAGGACGGAGATGGTACGTGGCATTAAATAAGAGGGGAAAGGCAAAAAGAGGATGCAGTCCAAGGGTAAAGCCTCAACACATATCCACACACTTCCTTCCCAGGATCAAATACTCAGAGACTCCAGAAATCTCCTTCACTGTCAGATCTCCGGAAAAGAAGAAGGCAGCTTCACCCATTAAACCAAAGACTGTACCTAAGACTGTACCCACCCCATCAAAGAAAAACAGCAGTCCAGTTAGATACAGACTTAAGTTTCGCTTTGGATAAGCTGGTGCTTTGCTCTTGATATTGGAGAATGGAAATATTTTTTTCTTGTGAGTAAGGAGGTTTAAAAGATCAATTTATATGAAAGCACTGATGGTATGTACGCAATTTCTTTTCACAAATAAGTCCAAACTCAGAAGCACACATACAACATTTTTTTTACTTTAGGTTTCATTTTAATATGATTGATAAAACACTTTATACACGACAAGGGCAATGTATTTGGGTTTAATAAGACAATTTTTTCTAAGATACAAATTTATATTGTTGTTTCAGTACAGATAAAAAAAAAATAACATGCATAATGCGTGTTGAAACTGCAGTAAAATGTTTGGCTCTAAGGCATACTATAACCTACCTAAACATTAAAATAAGCAGATGTGGCAATTAAAAAGTTATTCAGTATTTTGACTATCATTGCTTGGTAGACTTGTTTCATTCTGAGCTACTTACACTGTATATTTGAATATACTCAGCAAAAACACAACATGACATATATTCATTAATCATTGTTACTTTCCGGCAGATACAAAAGGAAAGTTGCCAAGCATTGCAAGTATGCAATCAAGAATAGATGGTATGACCATGTATGACATTGGTTTCTATGCAAATGAGCACTTCTAAGCTCTTTATAACGTCCACTTAGTGTATATTGTAGGACTGATACATAGTGCTGCTGTAGATCATTTTTCACATTTATATTTTTCACATATACACTACATATGTGTGTGTCGATGAATATGCAGATTTCTGATACAAACAGATCATTAACTTGCCAATATGTAATATGATACAAAATCACAGCAATATATAGGCATCACCAAAGGGTTCCTCCAAGTAGCATAGGGGGCTGTAGAGGATATAGTGCAAGGAGTACCATGGCTCCATTCCCTCCTAAGGAGGCAGCATATTTACAACAGCTTATCTGGATATCGTCATGGGGACAAGCATCAACGAATGGCAGCTGAATGACATTGGGATTCTGCAGAGCTGTAGAAGCCTGATGCTGCTACTGCCAGTCATTCACTAGCTGAGACCATCAGCTGTGGGCTCTCTGCCAGATGTGGAGTTACACCTCTAGCAACAGTATTAATATCTCTGTATGTGAAGCGTTTCTTACACCATGATCACTCCGTATCAATGGACTGGTCACGGTACTTCTAGTAATGCTTTAATGTTTACACGTGGCCTTTGTACATAAATGTTGCAAAATTGTTCATCTAACCTATTGTACCTTCCTTTGACCCAGCCCATTAACTTGTGCCCTCTCTACTGGTCATTTCGTTCACATGCATCTCCTTTTATTCTATTGAGCTACTCGATCAATCCTTGCTGTATTTCCAGTGATATGTCATGTGATAGGCTGGGATGCTGGGAACTTCCTCTTCCTTTTCATCAAAAATGGATGACATATTGGAAGACAGTTTTTAACTTGGTTCCCAGGAGGTTATGGATTTGAATAGCTGGGCCTTAGTAGCCATCAATAATTTACAAATTTCCCTTATCAATTCCCCACATTTCCCAATTTAGTCAATAAACCCACACACCAGTCACATTTTGCTGCCAAATTAGTTATTTTGTATGAAAATACTATGTGATCTTGGGTGAGAGTCTACTAAACTGGGGTATGTGTATCTCAGTGAGATCAATCTGCGGTTTGGAAAGTTTTGTTCAGAAGTTTGTTCACTAAAATGTGAACTGCCAGAACTATTCGAAGAGAGTATTCAAAATGAATTCCCACTACACTTAGGCGGTATTCATCAGCTCAGATACATATAACAAAAAAAATAAAAACTGCTTCATTAAGCTAAAGTTGTTTTTGGTGACTATAGGGTCCCTTTAAATGTCACAGGCACTCTGGAAGTAGAATTATTAATTGAAGGGTTACTCCAGGCCTCATAACCACTAAAGCCTGCTGTAGTGGCTATGATGCCCAAAGGAACCTCATGCTACTCCCTTGTTTGCAAAAGTTTGTCAAGTACCTGTGTTGTGCAGGTGGCAAAATTAACAATTGTGGTATTGCAGAATTCAGGGGCCTTGCACCATGACCACTTCAAAACAGAAATGGCAAAACACTTCAAAAGTCATTAATTAAATCAACAGATGATTTTTCACAGTTAATATTTTACATCACTTTTAGTTACTGTGATAAACATCGCACCTGGTACTAATTTTAAATATTCTCCATAATCCCCAGCAAAGATATAGAAATGGGAAAATGATTTGTCTTATAGGCACATGTGCATAAACTATGGCAAAATGAGAAATCTTTATTTTAATGACCATTTCATGATCGGTATTGTATTTTGATTAGCAAGTATAACCACATCAACAAGCCTTAGTGAATGTCTTCAACATCAGGGGTGCCCAAAAGGTAGATCCTCAGATGTTTCTAAACAGCTTCCATGATGTGTTGTCATACTGAAGGTATGCAAAGCATCAAAGGGGAGTTGTAGTTCTAAACATCTGGGATTTACATTTTGGGCATACCTGCTCTATATGAACATTATTTGCTACTAGTATTAAAACACTGTTGTCTAACTTGCCAAACCAGATGTTTAAGAACTACAATTCCCATTGTGTTTCGGTGGCCAAATGGCTACCTGAGTTTCACAAAAAATGTAGCTTATGATATTTTAAAGTGCAAGTTTAGCATTGCTACCATAGAATATCTATTAGATCCTGTCAATAAGTGCACTGCAAACCCATTCATTTTAAAGAAACTTAAAATTAGTTTTTATTTAGTTTTGGTGTGAATATAAAATGTCTTAAGATTATACATTTTTATATTATTTTATAAATACCTAATAATTAAGCATATTTAACTGCTTTAAAATTTTACACAGCTTTTAATGTTTGAACTTTTTATGATACAAATTGTAACAATTTTATTGCATTTAATAAAGGTTTTTTTTATCTTGCTTTTTGCTGGGATTGATATTATTTCACAACGGGAAACAGTAAAGAGTTTGTCCCCTAAACAGTGAAATTTGATCGTTTGCTAACTGGCCTTAATAGTATGTCAAGATATCTGAAAACATATTGGAATAAAAGTCAGATGTAGATAACCTAGATATAATATTTTTGAAACTCTGCTATACTGGTATTACATGTACGGCTCATACAAGTACCACTAAACATTGTTCAGAAAATAATCCCCTAATAATTGTAATGATTTCAAAGCTATTGTGGCACATCATAAGGCTTACCCAGAGAAAAGATTTACGGCTTCCTTTTTCCCTATTGCATTTATATGGAATTTAAATTATTAGCCATACAGATTAGGAATTAAATTAAATGTGATTATCTAGATTTTTTTTATAACAGCAGAGAGAGATATAGGATAGTAAAGAGATGCACAATGTGTGTAACAAGGAATGCAAACCGTCTTGTAAATACAATATAGGGGCTCCAGGACTCCTAATAATTAGTAGTTAGTCTGACGAGGATCAAAGGAAATATAACCACTCTGTGATTCCAGCAAAATTCCATTTCATCATTAAAGGGACACAGTAGGCATTGTAACTACTTCTTCTCATTGAGGTGCTTATATTGTCTGGAGTCCCCTGGCGCAGTCCTTCCATCTGTTTTTAACTATTTAATTTTTAAAAAGGGTCCTCCGCAATTATAAATGTGATTAATTTATTTAGTGCCGCCGCGAGGAATAAAGTGAGGACACATTTGCCTGAGCAGCTAAGGTTGGCTGTGATTGGCTGAGAATGTCAGCTGACCTCTTTTAGCCTATGCCAGTGACCATTGCTGTTATCATTTGGAATGGCTAGAAGAAGTGTGTAATCTCTGGCTTAGCCATAGTTTTTTTAGGGACCAACCTGTTGGTGGCCAAGCACGCTGCTATGAGGATTTAAAAGGTACGTTTATTTACTTTACATCCCCTTGCATGCCAGTCTCTGTACGGTAGCTCCGCCTCCTTGGCTGAGATCATCAGTCTTGATAATCTTCACCAATCTAATGCTTTTTTGATTAAGTGGTCTAGGTTCCTATGGTGTCCCTTTAATACTGAATGGAGGGATTGTTGCCAGGGGAATCTAAGCACCATGACCATTTTAATTAGATTGTCATTTATTACATTTTATAGGAAAATTGTGACCAGACGAAATAGGTTTATCCACAGTAATGCAGTTATCTTAGAAGAGAGTCCCAGTCGACTGTGGTCTTCTTGAAACTGTACTTTGGGATGACATTTTGTACCAGTCTGACTGAGCATATACCTTGTATATAGTTATTTAAAGGGGGAATTATGGTGGAGTCTAGTCCTTACTGTATTCCACCACTGAAATGTCCTTCAGATGGTAAAATAATGGGACAAAAGTAGGCAAATCCCACAATTTGCACTTGTATCCTACAATGGGAACACATGAGTCTTTCCAAACTTCTCTAAACATCCTACCTCATCCCAAGTCCTACATCACGAAATATCCCATGTCACTCAACATCCTAATAATCTGCATTACTGAGAGACTGAATGCTCTGGAGGTCTCAACACTAAATTAACAATAGTGTTAAGTTAAAACAGGAACGCTCTCATATGTCTGATTATTAGATTGAAAAGCATCATTTCAAATATTTCTAGCAAAGCATATGGCCAAACTCTGTCAATTTTTATCCCATAGCCATCTGCAGGGTCTAGATAAACTAATTCAGAATTTACAGCATGCCTTTTTTTTTATACAAAAACATATACACAGACTGACACACACACAGATACAGATGCACAGACTGACACAGAAACACACACATGTGACACACATACAGATATACAGAAACACAGATACAAACACTGACACACATGCAGATACAGATACACACACTGACTACATACAGATACACACACTGACACAAACACACTCAGATACACATACTGACAACATACAGACACACAGTTACACAATGACAATATACAGATAAACAGATACACACAATGACAACATATAGATACACACACTAACACACATACAGATACACAGACACATTTACTGACAGACATACTGACACAAACAGACACACATCATGCACATAGACACACACACACTGACAGACATACTGACACACATACTAACAGATATACTGACACGAACACACATACTAACACACACACAGCCACATACTGACGCACACACTGACACACACAGATACACACTGAAAGACATACTGACACACACACACTGACAGACATACTGGCACACACAGACACACACATTGATACAGACATACTTGCCCTTCCCTCCCACCCCCCAACCCAGTAGCTGGGCCCAGGGCAGCTGCCCCATTTACCCTGCGTTAAAGACAGTCCTGCACCTATGATGTGATTCGTATCACTGGTCCACCCCCTCTTAACCTGCCCATCTGCAACCCGCCTCATGGGATATTGATGTTTCGGATTATGCTGTTGGAAATGTTTAACTCAGCAGTGTAAGCGTTAAATTAAAGATCGGACACAAGCTATTTAGCTCTTTGCAGAGATTAGAAATGTGACAGCTACTAGCCCACACACAGATAACTTGCACTTGTGTTTCACTCACTTATAAATCTATCAAGCTGTCAGACTGTCATCATTAAAGGGAGCGGCTGATTACCATATGTCAAAGCTTTTTGTGCACAGTCTCAGTTCCACTCAGAGCAGGAGTTATTATGGAACTATATCATCAAACAATGTAGGTTAGGAGGGAAGAACTGAAAGCAGTGACATTTTATTTATTTTGCAAAAATGGTACAAAATATAATAGTTCTATTTTTAAAAGGTTCTAGGATCAGTTTTGAAAACTGAAAAAGAAAAAAAGTAATGTTCTAAGGGTGCTAATTAGATAACCATTCGGTTAGCAATGTAGCTGATAGTTGAAGCAATGCCTATGTTTTCTAATATTTTTTAACATCTCCAGATAATCTAAGCACCTACACAATGCAAAGAAAGTTACACCAGAGGAGATAAATTGCTTTTTTCAAATTTGTGAGATTACACAATCTAACTAATGGGGTGGTTTGTATATATTAAAAAAATGTTTATATTTTATTTAAATGATTATCAAGTTTCATATAAAGTTTGTAAGGTTTAGATAAAGTTCCTGGTGAACAAGGGAAATAGCCACTAAACAGTGAGATTTGAGTTGGTATACAATGTAAAAACCAAAGCTAAACTGGCAACAACAGGCTTTAAGGTAGGTCAAAATAACCAAGTTGGGAAACAAAATCTCCTGTTCTGCTTAAAGGGACACTATAGTCACAAAAACCACTTTAGCTTAATGAAGCAGTTTTGGTGTATAGATCATGCCCCCGTAGTCGCACTGCACAATTCTCTGCCATTTAGTAATTCAATCACTTTGCTTATGCATCCCGGTGGCATGACCTACACACAAAGACTGCTTTATTATTATAATGAGTGAGTGAGCAAGCCTGATCGTCTGCAAAGCATGATTCCCCAACTTTGCAAGCCCATTCGTTCAGTGAACAAGCCTGATTCCCCAACTTTGCAAGCCCATTCCTTCAGTGAGCAAGCCTGATTCCCCAACTTTGCAAGCCCATTCCTTCAGTGAGCAAGCCTGATCGTCTGCAAAGCCTGAATCCCCAACTCTGCAAGCCCATTCCTTCAGTGAGCAAGCCTGATAGTCTGCAAAGCCTGATTCCTCAACTTTGCAAGCCCTTTCCTTCAGTGAGCAAGCCTGATGCCCACCCCACACCATCCTACCCCATTCTCATTATTACATTTAAAGATTGTCTGTCACACCCACATTTTAGTTAGGTTAAAACATTTTTTTTTAAAAAACCTGCCTCTTATTAGTACACTCCTGAACTTTCTTAACCCATAAAACATAATATCTTTCCTACCTTCACCTGCTCTTGATATTCCACTTATTTCCAATTTTTTTTATTTTTCACAGTTTAGCAATTATCTGTTTTCTCCTCCTCTTTATTTCCTCAGTCTCCCTTGGTATAAAAATCTCTCCTTACACCCACTTCACTCATCCCCCCATCCACATTTACATATGCCCCTCTCTGCTACACTCCCCCCTTCTCTCATCTCATGCCTTACACTAATTTCTCTACTCGCTCACTCCGACCCACAATCGATCTGTCAGGGGTCCGCGGGCGGCTATGAGGGGAGGCTGCACGCCACTTGCAGCATTCACCCTCAGTCCGTCGCGGTCTCCCCTCCTCCTACCTGACGGCGAGCAGCGTCTCCTCTCCGCCGCTCGCCGTTCGTGTCCTCCACGCCTCCCAGCGGCATGTATAACGCTGCACGCTGGGAGGTAGCTAATTTATGCAAACGGCGTTAAAGCAACAGTACCACAATCACAGTGGGAGGCATAGATATCTCCCGCATGTGATTGTTAATTCTGATTGGAAGTTATCCAATCAGAATTAAACCAAGGGTATTTATACTTACCTTTCCTGTCTCTCAGTGCCCTGTTGTGGTCTTGTGTTACCTGTAGTGCAGTTTGCTTGTGTTGCTCTCTAGTTCCCAATTATTTGGTTCGTTATTCCGATTATCCTGTCTTCTCCACTCCTTTGACCTCGGCTTGTTTCTCGTTCT